GGCAGAGGGTGGTCCTCCGAACTCGTGTCAGCAAGTGAGATTCAAAAAGGCGGGCCCGGCTCACTTGATGCCCTCCAGTTGAGGGGGCGAACGACTGCTAGAAAACCTCACGGCACGATTTAGCCGGCCCACGCGGCCTTTGCTTGGAAACCTCCGCTGCATTGAGCGAAATGACAGCACTATCTACGCGGCACTCTGATCTGCAAGCTATTCTTAATGCGTGCGTACGTGGTGCAATCCTGCACGCGTCCGCTGTGTATCGACTGTCCTTTTTTTTGGCAGCGGAGCGGCGTCCATCTCGTTTCCGGAATTTAACTTGGGATAAAGGATTATCCTTGATATAAGTGCTCTAAATAACCCACTCCTGGTCTCGTGGGTCTGGTAGGGTGGTTCGGTACTAACCGGCCGAACAAGTGAAGGTTCTGTGTCACTCATAGGTCATGTCACTTACTAGAGTCACTCACACCGTCTGACTGCGTGTTTACACCTTTTTTGGTACTCGCTCCCAGGCGTGGTAAGATTGGAATAGAATAAAGAGTTGACCATGCCATGATAAACGGCGCGCGGAGAGGGTCGGCCTGCTTCACGAGTATATTACCGCAGTGCAAGACTCAGTGAACTGAAGCACGGCCCCCACAAAAAAAGTGACTGCGAGTTTCACGACGTGAAATTCACGTAGTACACTGAACATTAGAAGAAATTTCCGTGAAGACGGGACACGCTCGATTCGGGTTACTCGAAACTATCTTCCATTCCGACAGGTATCAACAACAGACTGGATTATGGTCACACGCAGGGTCAACATGATTCTACTCATTGTGCGGACTGGCTGGTCTCGTCCTCCGCATGATTGTCAGAGGGCAAAGTTCAAAGCTCAACAATGGGGTTCAAGTGGTAAATGAAATCAAAGCTATCTACATAGTCTGTAGATCAACTGCTGAGCTATGTAACGGCCGATTGTGTGCTGTTGCTTCAAGGTAGACAGCACGCAACACACAGCACACAATGCGGTGTACCGCACATCATCGAGAGTATATCATACTTTGCTGTCGGAACTGTCGGGTGAGTGGAGGTTATCATACATTGATCAAGGGGAGCGCTCACCCCGCGGTCTGCAATATCTAGGTGAGTCAGTTTGGTCGAGCCGCCTAAGGTGCCAGACTCGAGCTCTGGGGAAGAAATCCTCGTGGGTTTGGATCCCATAACTGACATCGTTGTTTTGATTGGAGTCTTCTTTCCGGCCGAGATCATTGCCAGTGGGAACTTTTCACTGAGGTAAATGGCTGGATCTGGTAGTCTAAGTTTCACTTGCACATCAACAGCACTATGCCTGAATATCCAATCAGGCGATAGTCGTCAAGTGAGCGATTCTTCTTGAAATTTGACAGCGAAAAACGACTGGAACTGTCTCTGAAGCGCTCCTCTTAATCCGATCGAGTCCCTCGACCTGTATGGATGAGCTGGTTATCACATCAGCCACTTCACTCGGAGTGAAAAATCCCCATGTTTGTTTCTTTCTCTTTCACGGGGCGACTGGATTGGATACTTCTGCTTAGGGCTCATGCATTTTGCGGTTGATTGAGGTTCTAACTGCTTGTTCCTTCTCCCTGTAGTAGACTGCTTCTTGAAGTACTGTAGGCTGTCCGCTAGATTCGATTGAACGGTTTACACCTATTCAACATCTATCGGTACAACAGTAACTTCTATTTG